GGAGGTTTGGCTTCATGCATTTTGCTTTGGATTGTTTTTCTTTTCTATATATTAAAGTCTTCTTTTTGATATGTTTGTATGCAATAATCTGAAATGAACATTTTAGGCAAATGAAAGTGAAGGAACAATCACAAGTAAGATCAAGCATACCCAAGTTTGATCACAATTTCGTATAAATAATATTTCACATTTTGTCGGAGCCTCAAATTTTAGAAGCAATTGGTTTTACCCATTCAAACGTGAAATAACATTGAACTATTAATTAAAAATATTTTAGTGTAAATTTATAATAATATACTTATCAGACTTTATAAGTTAGTCTAAAATTTTGTCAACTTTCCATGTAAGTCTAGATCAGATATTACAATTGATGTGATTGACCTATAGTTATTAGAATTGAATAAAAAAATAATCCGATCAAAACGGTAGAAAGAAAAGATGAGATACTGAGTTGTTGAGGAGTTGAGGGATGGTGCAAGAGATATACAAAACTTTATTTCTTGTCGACAAGTGTCTACGCTTTTTTTTCTCACGTTTTCTAAGACCTTTTACTGACAAGTCTCATCTATTTATATGGACATAGATGAGATTTACAAGACTCAATTTATTAAAATTATATTTATATATTTTTATTATATGTAACATGTCTAATGTACTAATGATTTATTATTTTCATAACCTTCATCTTTGTAGTAATATTTGTCATATTGTAACCTCTCTATTCTTACTAAATTCTAGATATTATAATTATTTTTGTGATCATGAAAGAGATTTTAATCCTTTTTTTAATTAAATTTAATTCTCTTAAAAGAAATCTTCATCCTAAAAGATGTATCTGAATCAAAGAGCTTGGTAAAAATATCTATAACTTAGATCACCAAATTTGATGTAGTCCAATGAAACTTCCTTGTCCATGGAGGTAAATATTGATATGCTTGTTTTGTTCATGGAAGACCAAGTTCTTGGCCAATGCAATTGCTAACTTATTATCAACATGTATCTTTGTAAATTGATGTTGTGAATAATTGACACCATTTAAGTGCTTCTTTAGTCATATAGCATGACAAACACATGATGATACTACTATATATTTAGCTTTACATGTAGATAATGCGATAATGGATTACATCTTCGAATACCAAGCGAAAGTGATGTCGTCAATATAGAAAACAAAGCCTATTATCTATTTTGATCTTCTAAAGCTTCATCTCAATTACTTTGGAAATAGCTAATAAGTTAAAAATTATTAGAAAATGAATATAGTAGACCATGAGTTATGATACATTTGATGTAGTGTAAAACTATTTTAGTAGCTTTCATCTGTTTTGACTTTTGTTCTTTAATAAGTTCGCTTACTATTCTAGTTCTATATGGAATATTTGATCTCGTGCAAGTTAGGTATCTCAAGCTTTGTACCAAGTTTTTGAAATAGGTTAGATCAATTATTTCTCCATCATCTTGTCATGAAAATTTGATGCCACATTCAATCGATGTGTCAACCCATTTATAATCTTCCATCTTAAATCTTTAAGAACTTCCTTTGCATATCCTTCTTGTGAAATAAAGATATATTCTTTACTTTTCTTCACTTTGATATCTAATAAATAAGATATAAATCTAATGTCAATCATAAGTGAGTTCCTTCCTATAAATACAAAATCATCTACATACAAGTAAATAAGTAAGATATCTTAATGTTTGTTCATCTTCTTATAAATGGTACTTTCATAATGTTAATGTTCATAACCATTTTGCTTGAAGTAGGCATCAATTCTAGCATTCTATGCTCTACATGTTTGTTTTAAGTCATACAAAGCTTTTTTTAACTTGAGAACTTTCACTTCCGGTCCTTTTTTAATATAATCCAATGGTTATTCTATATATACTTCTTCAAGAAAACCATTCAAAAGTATAGATTTAATTTTAATTTAATAAATCAACTAATTATTTTGTGTGACAATGGATATAATCAATATAATAATTTTCATTTG